GTTGTCTCCAGCATTTCCTCCTAATTTCAGTTCATGTCCTTCCAGCTACTCTTGTCACAAAATGGTCCCACTTATTTACTTATTTGTACTTTTCTTGGTTATATGTTTCCCCTGTCATCTTGTATAGATTTATTCAACAAATATTTATTCAACAACTCCTATATACCAGATAAGGAGGATCCTGGGTAAGATGGCATCTTTATCCTCAAGAAGTTTACAGTCTAATGAAGAATAAAAGTAAAAAATTGCAGTATCTGCCATTTTATTTTTCTGGTGCTGAGGATGAAACCCAGGGCCTCATGCATGCTAGGCAAGTGCTCAACTACTAAGCCACATCTCTAGCCTCAATAGCTGCCATCTTTCATGCTTACCATATGTCAAGCATTTTACATGCAGTGTCTCACAGGATAGAGTAAAGTAGTTAAATGTATGGGCTCCAGAGTAAAAAGAGCTGGGGACAAATCTCTCTGAGCCTGGCGTGGTAGGCATTATTGTAATCCCAGCACTCTGAGAGGCTGAAATAGGAGGATCTCAAGTTTGAGCTTAAGCATGGGCAATTTAATGACTTAGGGAGACCCTGTCTCAAAATTTTAAAAAATCAGCTTGAGGTGTAGCTCAGTGTGAAGGCCATGTGTTCAATCCCCATTACTGAAAAAATTAAAGCCCTCCCTCCCTCTGCCAATTCCTGCTTGTACGACCACTGCGTTTCTCAGTTTCTTATCTGGACAATGGAAGAATAATAATAGCCAGTTTATAGGGTTATTATCAAATATTATAGGTGAAACACTTAGCATGATGTTGGCATAAAGTAAGAGGTTAATAAACAGAGGATAATAAGTAAGAGGATAATAAACAGTTTGTGTTTTTCCTGCAGGCAACCATTTTGGAGATGAGGAACTTTGAGGTTTAAGGGGGTTCTATAACTTTCTCAAAGTCCTACACCACTTAATGGGTGGAGAGGTCTAATGTTTGCTCTCAGCCACTACCCTCTACCACCTCTACAGCATGATATGTGCCTTTAGGGAAGAAGACTAGGGTACTACAGGAGCGTAAGAGGAACAAATAGTGCCATCTTGTAGGAAAGGAGTTAGGGGAGGCTCCTAGAGTAGGTGAGGCTTCAGCTAACCTGGAAGATCAAACAAGAATTGGGCTGAAAGGAAAGTAGGGTACGATAGAAGTAGAGGCTATAGGCAGAGTGGAGCCATTTTACCCCCAGCTAGAAGCTCATCATAAAGCATGGTGAAATGAGGAGGAGCAGGTCAAGGGAAGATGGATACGGATAGGGATGAAGACAAAGGGCTATGTCTTTGCTCCATTGGGCTATCAAAAGGCACCTTATAAGTACAGGATGATGTCACTTCTTTCTCCCATTGAGTCTTTCACTTCTAGTTTTCCCTTCAGTTCTTCTTTGGTCTGAATTAGGCCCAGAAGGGTGAATTATCTCCATATTCCTTCCTTTAGAAAGATAAATTCTTCATGGCAAACTGGAGACTTTCAGCAAATGCCCAGGGGACTGCAGTTCTCTTCTCTGTTTTCTCGTTCCCCTCTTTGGCTTTGTGATCTATTTACAGATGGCTCCCAACATGCATGAGTTCTGCCTTAGCCACCTGGTGTGAATTTGTCTTCCATACATTTAATATCAAGTGTTCTCGAATCTTTATATTTTCAATCTCTGCCTCTTCTTGAGCTAGCACGTTCCATATGTTTGTCTACTCTCTGCTAAATAAAAATGGGCTGGTTGTTTTCTCTGACATAATGTCCTTTAAATTCAAAAGCTCTTCCTTTGGTATTAGAATTCTAGGGTTCAGTCGATGAGTATTTCCATTGCTATGATGAACCTAGCCACCCAGTAATGCCTTTCCCTGTGAATTCAAATTTTACCTGAGCATACCTTTTGGCAGCCAGATTCTCCTAGTCACCAGATCACATTGTGACTGTTTTGTGCACCATGCTGAGGGCATTCTCATTACCAACTACCAAAAACGGAGGATGTTCTTTCTCACTACCATCCTTTGTCTCCTCTTGTACAATAATGTCTGTAGGATCTCTCTAACTGGAACATCACCTCTATTGAGGGAAGATTTTAAATGCCTGGACTTTTGCTTTTAAGGAATCTTTATGTCAGTCAGTGGAAAACCAGCAGCAACCTCCACATTCAAGCATTAATAACTGTTACTTTAATTGTTGCAGATGTGGAGGGTGAGGAAATGTGACATTATCCATTCAGGAGAAGCAACCAATTCAGTAAGACACTACTGATATACTGATTGACATACTTGTTCTGTTTGTGGTCTTGCTGTCTGGCATGCAATCAACAAACATTTATTGAATACTTTCAACTTCCAGGAACCCTGGTGCTTTGGAATGTCATTTTTACTTGCTGCAGCTGCTTTCTGTTTTTCTGAACCACAGCTGCTGTAGCTTCAGTCCTCTAGCTGTTGTGCTATTTCTTATGCCATTGTTGATGTCCAGCCTTCCCTGGCTTCTGATATCTAGTAGACACCATCAGTTGCTGGCTATGGCCTCCTATCAGGACTAGCTTTTCTGAAACTCATAGCTTCCCTGTTTTTGACCTTCTGTTGGACTTGTGTGACTCTGGCCCTCACTGGGAGAGTGCCCTGGAAATTCCAATCTTGTGATGGGCATGACTTGCTATATTTTCTGGTCCTTATGCCCTGGCCGCTGAACTCCAGACTCTCATTTTACTGTTGATTCTCAAATTCTTAATCACTTGGCATTAAACAAAAAATAAATTTCTAGAAGTAGAAAGTAGGATAGTAGTTATCAGAGTCTAAGGAGAGTAGCAGGAGAGGAAGAAGTAGAGGTTGGTTAATAGGTATAGTGCTACAGTTAGATAGGAGCAAGAAGCTTTGGTATGCTATTGCATAGTAGAGTGACTATAGACAACATTAATTTACTGTACATTTCACACTAACTGAAAGAGGAGATTTTTAATGTGTCACCACAAAGAAATGACAAATATTTGAGGGAATAAACATGCTAATTGCCATGATCTGATCATTACAGTGTACATATGTATCAAAACATCACCTTTTACTCCATGCATTTGTACAATTACTGTGTGTCAATTAAAAATAAAACCAGACAAAAAGAAATGAGACCAATTTTTGAAAAAAGCAAATTTATTAAACTGAGGATGCAGCTCAGTGGTGATACGGTACACACAAAAAAAAGTAACCAAATTTCTTTCCTCTAGGTTAGCTCAGAAGCAATGTTGTGTTGGAAGAATGGTGGAAGTTATCTATGATGATGAAAGAAGTAATTTAGCAGGTTGAAAAGGGCCTTGTGCATGTTGTGCAGGCAGCCCTGAAGGAGGCCCTTGAGTGTCAGGCCAGTGCAGAGCACAGCCTTCATCCAAAAGAATTAACTCACTGTACAGCATACTGACTGTACAATGGTGAATAGAAGTGAATTTTCTTTAATCTAATGATAATAGTACTATAATAGTTGACACATATTCATTCATCTATTTAACAAATATTACTGAGTGCCTCTCATGTACTAGCTACCTAGTAGCTACATGTCTCTGCCCTCATAAAGTTTACATTCTAGTGGAGAGGAACAGAAAATAAACATGTAAACAAAAATACTTAATAATATAATTTTAAGTGTTATAAATAAAATTAAACAGAACAATGGGATGGAGACTAACTGATGGAGGTACTTTGAGTGTACCCAAGGAAAGGCTCTCTGAAAAAGTGACATTTGAGTTGAGATCTTAATGATGATAAGGGGATAGCCATGCAAAGATCTGGGGAAAACCCACTCCCAGACAGAGGGGATTTTAAAAACGCTTCTCATTCATGCCCCCACACAAACCCAAGAACCTATGCCTCTCAAAAACACCAGGGATTTAGCTCAGTGGCACTATGCCTGCCTTGCAAGCTCAAGGCCCTGAGTTCGATCCCCAGTACCAAACAAAACAAAACAAAACACATCTGATTACTAAGAAAAGTACATATGGTGGGCACTGTAATCCCAGCCTGTAGTAGAAATTCCAATCCTGTGATGGGGTATGACTTGCCATAACCTCAGTATTTAGGAGGATTGTAAATGTGAGTCCTACCTGGGCAACTTAAGTGACTTAGCGAGATTCTGTCTCAAAATAAAAATTTAAAAAGGCTGGGGATGTAGTTCAGTATGAAGGTCTTAGATTTATCCTCAGTATACTAAACAAACAAACAAACAAACAGGGGCTGGGGATGTAGCTCAGTGGTAGGGAGCCCTTGGTACTGAAAATAAAATGTATCCATTCTTAACATTTCTTATGTTCTGCACCTCTTGTTAGTGCTTAGGAAATAGCTGATCAGAGCCACCCATGAACTAGCCGTTGTTTGTTGCTGTGTTTTATTTAATGCAGATTCTGCATACAAGGCAAAAGAAACCCTAGACATCAAACACATATTGTTGCAAATTTACACGTTTGGGGAGTAAGGCAGGAAACAACAACTTATGGCACTGTCTAATATAGACTAACGTGGTTTCAAGAGGTCAGACAGACCTGGCTTTGAATTCCGGCTCAGTGCTTACTAGCTGGATGTCCTTTAGCAAGTCATTCAATCTCTGAACCTCTGTTCCTCATCAGTAATAATGAAGTTTTTAAGGATCACAACTGCAATGTATGTAAAAGTGCCTAATGTGTTTATATATAAGTTCTCCATAATATTTAATATAGCTCATTAATAATAATACATGTAAAGTGTTAACTTAAGAATCCTCAAGCTTCCTCCACTGAGCTCGTTTAGGCTATGTGTAGGCTAAGAGGAGGGAGATGGTAGTCCAGGCAGAGGAGTAAAGCATAGGACAGAAGTGGGAACAAACTGAGCTGGCTTTCAGTTGTGTTATGAAAAAGACCAAAATCTATGAGATCATTAATCTACCTACTACAAATCTGATGGGCCACTTACATATTACCTCATGCCTGCCCTCTTTCTTGTTCTTGTTAGGGATTAACTAATCTGTTATTTAATCTCTTTTAGGCTCTTTGAAACCCTCCAGTCACTCTTTTGGTCTGTATTTGGCCTTTTAAATCTCTATGTCACCAATGTGAAAGCCAGGCATGAGTTCACAGAGTTTGTGGGAGCAACTATGTTTGGGACATACAATGTCATCTCCCTGGTGGTGCTGCTGAACATGCTGATTGCCATGATGAACAACTCCTACCAGCTTATTGCCGTGAGTAGCTTTGCTTTATTTATTTATTTTTAATTGAACCCAGGGCCTTTACACATCCCCAGCAAACCCCTCTCCCCCCTTTTTCTGAGACAGTCTTACTACATCGCTAAATTGCCCAGGCTGGGTTTTCAGTCTCCTGCCTCAGCCTCCCAGAGTGCTGAGATTACAAGTGTGTGCCACTACAAGCAGCTTAGTAGCTTTGCTTTAAAGAAGTATTTTTTTTTTTCATTTCAGGAGGTCATCCAATGGTATGGAGCCCATTGCAAGGTCAATGAAAGTCAATTAATTTACATCAGATTTCTGAGCTGTTAAATTCATTTGCTTCTTCCAACACAATTTATCCAAACAAATTGTCTATTGCATAAGTCTACTGCAGTGATGGCGAACCTTTTAGAGCTTTCCATGATAACAAACAGCCCACTGTGGCATGAGTACCATAGGTTCACTCCCACTGGTTGAGTTTCAGTAATCTAGACTAGTGTGTGCCTGCGAATAAGACTTTCTCACTATCTGTTGAAAATGTTTTTCACTCACTGAATCCATTTTTGTGCCCCAGTAAGGAAAACTCAGGAGTTACATGTATAATTGGCTACCCAATGTGAACCTCATTTATCTCTAGGTGAATTTGGCTAATATGTTTCTTTATGTAAGGAAGCCCTGTCTCCCTCTTCACAGCAAACATCTTCCAGATTGAGAATTCCATCAACAAGGATGATCTCAGAAAGAGAGGGTTTTTCTTGGTGGTGGTGGTGGTCGTGGTGGTGGTTTTTGGCCGAGCATATATAAGTAACTGCATTCCACTGTAATATGCTCTTAAGTAGATTTCATTGCTGATTTTTAAAAACAATCATGTTACCATTTCAATCCACAGTGTTTATGACCCTAGACTACAAATGGTGAAACTAGAGGATATGGGATCAGTTCCGGCCCTACCTTGGTATTTGATGACAAAGTAAATATATAACCTTGGCTTGTGTGTGTGTATATATATATATATTTATTTATTTATTTATTTATTTTTTAAACATGGTGTGATTGTGGACACCTGTAATCCCATACTAAGAAAGTAAAGGTAGGAGGATCTCTGTGAGTTCTAGCCCAGAACTGGCTACACAGGGAGTTTAAGGTGAGCCT